ACAATGTTGAGCATTGTTGTGACAATATTAAGTCTTAAAGAGTCAACATTAAACTGCTTCGGAGCAAAAATGCAGCTGTTGTTTTTCTCTCTAATCGAAGACTGCTTTAGAGCAAAGTTGAGCGATTNNTCAGCTTCGAACATGCAGCTCTTTTTCTCTCTGGATTGAAGTTTCAGCTTCGAACATGCAGCTCTTTTTCTCTCTGATCGAAGAGGCTGCTTTAGGGTGAAGTTGAGTGATTCGAACATGCAGCTCGTTTTCTCTCTAGAGCACCTAAAAAAGCATCTCTCTGCGCGACAAGTCACTGGACAGCCCTGGGTGAAAAGGCTTGCAACAACGAGTCACACCCGGGAAGGGAAGAGTTCTCTTTCACTGTCTTCTCGCATCCAGTGAGCTCTGACTAATTCAAAATCTGGAGTTTGAGTGATGAGTGATCTCGGATGCTTGTTTTTTTTCGTCCGCTGCTGGGTTCGAACGCTTCACACAAGTGTCCACACAAATTTCTTCTGCTATGCTATTCTAGCTAACCTTCATGCGACCGAGAATGGCACAACCAGCTTCTCACGAATCACTGCGTCTCCGATGACGGTTTCGCAACAGTACCGCAAGGCGTACGATAACAGTTTTTGGACTCCACTTTGAGTCTTCGGCGCTTGCCCTTCGATCCTCCGTGCAGACACAGCCAACTTTTTGCCAGTGTGAACTTATCACGCGGGTCTTTTACCAACCAGGAAGAAGGGTTCCAAGCTTCTCAGCTCCAATGTAACGTGAATCGTGGGAAGAACGAGCCCAATACCACCCACTGCGATGAAACCGGCAACTTTCTACTAGGTGCATGAGAGGGAGTTGATTTCCATCCCATCTAAAGATTATACCCCCGAGTCTCGATGAGAACTGGAAAGCTTTCACTGTTTTCTTTGTAAATTTTGGCTGAGTTGTATTTCCGTTAATTTCGTACCGTGCCTAAGGAAAAGCTGTCTGTCTGTCGGTCGCTTCTCATGTCTTTCTTTGGAACCTTGAAGTGCAAGAGTGCTGAAGTGCGAGTTGTTTTACCTTGATTTCCACGTTTAGAAGTGTTTCAGCCAGTGCAGAGAAGCTGTTAGGACTCTGTAGGAGTGCTTTTGAGAGTGTGCTGAAGCCTTTACAGGTTTCATTTTGGCTTAAGGGGTCAGTTGTGTACTGTGAGAGCCTGAAGCGTTGTAACCCTCGCCTCTCCTAAAACCAGCCTAAGCGAAGCGTCTGAAGGCGCGTTCGGGTTTTTAACGCCTTTTGCAACAAAAATTTGCACAAATCCACAAGGATCCGAATTTGCACCTTTCTGCCTTCGTGGAGCTCCGAAGGCAAATCGATGCGCGATATGGAAGCTTTCCGTCCACTCACAGATGGAAGCATTCGAGCAGAGAAAACAGTGTGGATACTATGCTCATGTCCCACTTCCTTTCCAATGCGGGCATACCTTGCGAGCTTGTGCTGTTTTTTCACAGTGGCTGTATGGCATGCGTGATGCGGAGGCGCAGGATGGCAAGACGTGGGAGAAGATCATCGGTGTTGCTTTTAGCTTGCGCCTGTATTTGGAGTCGCACGGCTGGAGTAACGCGCTTCGGCCACGAGGTGGCGAAGTTTCACGACATCCCGCAATCAGAGAACGACATCATCCTGGTGTCACGCCCAGACATAGTCTTCAGCCATGCCGTGAACGTGACACGGATTTTCGAGGTTATGGCTTGGCAGAAGCACATCCTCCTGCCGCACGAGGGTTCAAAGGTCGAGGGCAACGACCCATCAGAGATGCTAATTATTGGCCCACGGTTGGTTTGGGAGGGGCCATGCATGGTCAAAGCAGACTTGCCGTGCGGCCCTGTGTTTTGGAAGGACAAAATGCGTGGGTTTTTTGGAACCCAGTACGTACACTGGAGCTATTCTCAGGGGGTAATGCCTTTCTTTTATTTCGGTCCGATAAAGCTGCACTTGCACAGGATGTCAGATGATATCAGTTTCGGGATGATGAAGCCACTGGTGAACACAGTGTCTCATGGCAACGACAGGGTCTTGGGGACAACCGATCTTACACGACAAGCCCAATGCGCTCTGGGATCAAAAGGTCTGGAGGACATGGTATTTCGCTGCAACACGAAGTTGCAGCGACAGGTGAAATCTCCAGAGGGCCCTAGATGCTGGAGCGCCGACTTTCGTTTTCAGCCCGTCAGTGGCCTGAAAAGGACAGAGGATGGCAGGGTTGTCCAGCAACTTGACGGCTCGCAAGGCTACTGGTTGTGCACCGAGCACACTGACATCGACAGGAACAGGAGCTGCACCTTCACAGGTCCCGCAGAGGTGTAAAAGCGCAACAGCCCGTGGTAGATTACAGAGTGCCCAGAGTCTTTCCTTTGTGCCGGTAAAGATTCCCTTATCAAGGACTCTACTTCTGGAGAATCCCGTAGCTAAGGAGCCCGAACGTAAGGATCCCGTTTAAGGAATCCGAATATCCTTTAAGGCTTTTAAGAAGGGGGGGTTATTTATCAATGCGGTTTAGGGTTTAGGTTGAGGGATGAGGAGTTTAGGGGGTTGGGCTTAGGTTTAGATCACAGCAGGTTTGGGGCCCAGGGGTTCGGGTTTAGAGTTTAGGGTTTTCGAGTTTGGTGACTTTGTGTTTGGGGTTTAGGGACGTGGTGTGCGCTCATGGAGACAACTGGTTGCTCGGCTTTTCAGGGAGAGTCCTCGCAAGGTCTGGATGTATTTGATGGAGTTCCCGCGCCAGGTGCCTCCAAGAAGATGATGAAGACAAAAAAGAAGTCCGGTGCGAAGCTGCCCTGATCACGACAAGAGGGGCATCGGAGGAGGCAGAAGGGTCTATGGTGTATGTAGGTGTATGTATGTGTGTACATACACACATACATCATCATGGGTCCGACCCTGGGGCCTGGATCTGGTTTGTCTCGGCCGGTGTTACCTTTGTAATTCCTTAAGGAGCTTCATCAAAACGTCCTTTGAACTGAAGTGAAGGCGGGGCGACTCTCTGCTACAAGGGCTCATCAGCGAGCCGATGTTTCTGCCACGGGTTTGATTTCCAACGTGCTGGCATCCGGTCCTGACTGTCTCGACTCTCACCATGAGCAGTTAGAATCATGCCGCTGCAGTGCCATCAATTGTCATTGTTAAAGTGCTTGCGCATCTTTTGTCACTCCCAATGCGTAGCCATTCCCTAACGCTTTTCGAACTTCGACTGATTAGTGCTGCACAATGCCCAGGTGTCGATCGCTGCCTTGCATGGAGCATGACCTGTTATGTGGTGCCTGCTAAATATGATGCATGCCAGATCAGCAACCGATCATTGAGTTAATTTGCCCACACATTGGTACGTGCCTTCTTGTTTGCATCTACATGTGTACGGGTGCAGTTGCGTGTGCATGTATGTTTTTTTTTTCTCTCTCTCTCTCTCTGTGTTTGTGTAGGTGCATGTGTAACAGCAGCTATGTCGGCTTAGGCTATCGATCGCGGTACGTAACCGCTTTCTCGCTTCCGTTTGGCCACTATGTTTCAGTTTGCCATGCTGCTGCTCGTAAACGCCGCCGGTGGTCGCCACGTCAATTGCAGAGACGGGCCCTGCGCTCCGGGCAACGACAGATGCATTGGCAGCTCTCCGACGTACACTTTCCACTTGGCAGACCCCACCTGCGACATCAACGATCCAAACGGTCCTTTTTATGACCCGGTGCATGGGGTCTACCACAACTTCTATCAGATTCACCTGGCTCTAGACAGGAACGGTACAGGCAACGGTCCGGACTGGGGTCACTGGGTCAGCCGCGACTTCAAGAAGTGGGCGCGCATGCCCGTTGCCATCTGGAACGACCAGTGGTACGACAATGTGGCCATCTTCACTGGCTCAACGACCATCGTAGACGGCAAGCCAGTGATCATGTATCCCGGCAAGTGCCAGAACGACCCTTGGTGCGGCAAGGATGGCTTCGTTTACGCCTTGGCGGTGCCTTCCAACGCATCGGACCCACTGTACACCAACTGGTCGAAGACAGGCTCGGCCTTTGGCAAGAACTTCACCAACCCCATACTCAGCAACACAGGCGATGATCCGTCCACTGCCTGGAAGACCGAGCACGGCGAGTGGCGAGTCATTGGCAACCAGGCCTGTGAGCCGGAGGGCGGCAATCCAATCTACGGCTCCATGGACTTCGTCCAGTGGTACAAGGTCGGTTGCACCTCGCTACAGGCAGGCGAGTGCCCCTCACTATTCCCGTTGCCCAAGCTCACGCCCGGCAGCGAGAGGTACCTAGAGACGCAGGGCGAGCTCCCGAACTACGTCCACAAGGCTGGCGCGGGCCCGGACAGGCTCCAAGTCGGAACCTGGACGGACGGCAGGCCGGGCCCCGAGGGCTTGGGCACTGTCGGGACCTGGACGCAGCTTCCCGGCAGCCGTGAGGTGAGCCTCGATATCTACGCAGGTTATGCCTCTAAGGACTTCTGGGACCCGGTGAAGGAGCGCCGCATTCTCTGGCTTTGGGGCAGGATCCCCTCGGGCATCCAGGCCATGCCCCGCGAGCTGACCTACCACGCCGGCCTCAAGCAGATCCTCTACAATCCGGTGGAGGAGATCCGGGATCTGCGCACCCACACGATCTCCCGGCTTGGTTCCACGGCCCTGCAGCCGGGCCAGCATGTCATACTCCAGGCAGCGATGGCCTCTGAGGTTTCGCTCGAGTTCGCCATTCCGTCCTTTGACACCAACTTCAGCGTCACGCTCCTGCCGAGTGGCGGCAGTTTCTTCCTCGATGTCGTCCAGTCCGCAAATAGCACGCCGAGTGTGAAGGTTGGTTTCAACAAAAACCGCCAGCCGCTGCCGCTGCTCCCCGACGAAGAGAAGCTGACAATGAGCCTCTTCATCGATGGCGCCGCTTGCGAGGTCTTCTTCCAGGACTTTGAAAAAACCTCAACTTTTGTGAGAAAACGTATCCGAAGCTCTTTTTTCTGCGGAAAACCGTGTCCGAGGCTCTATTTCTACGGAGAAACCTAGGAAGCGGTGAAAAGCGTGAGATGCACGAGATGGTGGGCATCTCTTTGACTTCGCTTGGTAAACTGAGGTGGGAAGATATGACCACCACCGGAGTGATTGAAGCGTGTGCATAATTCTGCAATATTAGGCATACGCGGATTATGATTATGTCTCTTCTTCCAGGACGGGCGCCTCGCCGGTGTCGTCCACATCAATGCCACGGAGTCGCTGGAGATCGAGGCCAGCAGCGCCGCGCAGATGGTGCAGGCGGTCTCCTATGGCATGGCGAACATCTACACGTCCCCGGAGGAGGTGCTCGCGACCCCTCGCCTGACGGGCCCGGAATTCGCCGTGGTCGTCTGAGTCTTGTGCTTGCGCATGACCATCACATTCAAGGAATGGGACCGTGGCCTGGTCAGCTGTCCCGTCCAAGAGACATGGCACCTCGTTTGGATGGAGTCGTGTTCAGTGTTGCATTCGAGAAAGACTGTGTCTGGCACCGCCTAACACTTCGAATGTACGCACGAGATTCGTTCCGTGAGTGCCGTTCATCTTCGCACAATATTTGCAGTCGCTTCCTCTCTGCATCCGTTCACTCTGTCGTGCGCCGCGCTTCGCGCATGGCCCCCGATCCTTCCCCGTCAGGCCTGGCTACAGCTATCAAGTCGAAGATGAAAATCGCGAAGCCAAAGATCAGCCGGGGACCCAGACAGGCCAGTGAGGCAACGGCACACGATGACACCGGTAGCTCGCAGCATGTGTGTTTAGTCGTCAAGGTAAGGCCTTGAGCATTTGGCAGACCTTGAATTTCGTTTTTGTCTAGCCCCGTGCCCGAACCGCCAGGCCCAAAGCCTCTCGTCCCGATTCCGAAGCCCTTATTCAACCGACTTGGTGCTCCTGAAGCTGGGAGTTCCACCAGCTCGGATTGCCAGTCTCCCTTCAGATGCACGTTTGGAGCCCTTGTAAGACCCCTCCAAGCGGAAGCCCCAACGACCCAGCTTCTCTCTCCTTCTTTTTCAATTGTCAATCGCTGAGTCGATTGAGAACTTTCCGGATTGATCTCAGAGCTTTGCTGCTAATCCATCCGTAACCTTTCATTACCTGAAGTCTCTGTCACCATGACCACGTATGAATAAGACTCAGTCATGGATACGCCCTTCGCATGTCCAGCTGAAAGCAACTTGCAATACAACATGATACAAGAAGCTCTGAAATCCTGTGCTCTTGAGCCTAGGACTTGTAAGGCATTTAAAAGAATCCTTCCTTAAGTAAAAGGATCTAAAAATACGTACAATCCCCAGGTGTAAGATAGGTCCTCAAGGGTTCATGCCAGAGAGAAAAGAGAAGACGTCCTCCGTAGACAGAAGCCGCAAACGAAGCACCATGCGACTACAGTACGGCTATATCCCAACAATCTGAAGCTAGCAGGATCTTGGACACAGGGGGTTCCTGCTGATTTCATCGCGCTTTGCAATAAGGGTCCTAGTGTTTGGGGTGTATGTTGCGGTGTCCCTGTTTCTGAAATATCCATGCAACTTTTGATGAGGAGCCGACAACAACTTCGCCAATCAAACATGAACGCGCCCTAAGCTTAAAACACATAACCCACAAAGCCCAAGAATCTTGAAGCCCTTCGACGCCAAAACCCAACCCTAATTGTAAACCCTGATGAATAAACACCCTTTCTTACCTTATTATAGCCCTTATTGAGTGAGGGAGGGGATGTTTTAAGTAGGGGTTCTACATTAACCTATATCCAACCAGGCTTCAAGAAATGGAGCTCCGCGAGAAGCTACACTACCAAAAAGTGGTCGAAGCGTCTGATCTTAGGGTTTCCATATCAACAACCCCATATAGCTGAAGTTGAATGTCAGAATGTCTTCCCGGTTTCTCTTCTAGACGCGGTTGGTCTTGGCTATGCTTCATGGCCTAAAGCAGCAGGCGCAGTGATCGCTTCCAGACGTGCGACCGGCAGATCCGGTGATTATTGTTCCAGGTGTCCCGATGGCTTGTTTAGGCACTGAAGCCTTCTGCCTCAACCTGCTGAGTTATTTTCGCCGAGACATAGCAGAGCCCGGCGCTTGCTAAGTTCAAGCTGGGGCTTTGTAAACCCCATGATGAATCCTGATGGAACCTTTATGGAACTGCTAAACACCCCTGTAGCATCTATAGTATAGAACCTTATACAGCCCATATTATAGAGAACCCTTGTGGAATGTCGACTTTGTTTGAGGACGCTGTGCGGCTCATTCATTCCTGCGGATGCTGCCGAGGACCCGTCGGATATTCCAAAGTGCATGAGAGTAGATAAAAAATGAAGCCTTATATATTGGGGTTGTAAGGCCAAGGTTTCCCTTTAGGGCTTAGGGTGTACCGTTCGAGGCTTGTAAGGTTTAGAGTTTGTGGTTTTGGTGAAAATGAGCGAGCAGGTTGCATTCATGCAGCGGCCTGCACCACTGCACCATTGTCATGCTCTAGCTCTTGCCGTAGAAGAACATTTCACCATACAAGGCATCCAGAGCCCATGGAGAGAAGCTGGCTTCACAATAACTGGCATGAGGCAACCATGCCCCATCTGTTTTCCACTGACTACCTGAGGTTGTTGGGTTTTTTTGCCAAAAAAAGGTCTGGACGATGGGAAAATCACCCCAAATCAGCCGGGAGTCAAATTGTGGCTGGAGAGAGGGCCAAGAGCATCCTTTTCTATGGATTCAACCACTCTTGCTTGTGTGGGAGAAATGCGTCCGCGCTGAGGTGCCGACTCTCAAAAAGCGCCCCATTCCGAGTTCTCATCACCATGTGCTCGCAGACCTTTCGTTGCCATCGATTTCATCCCTTTGGAAGGTATGTGCCGGTCCTTCTGATGAGCTTCTTGCCCCCATGGTTTTTCTGCCCCTTCTATTCGAAGCAACTTCATTTGCTGGCCATGTGCGCAACTCTTTCTGAGAGGCCTGCTGCTGTTGGCTTGGCGTAAGGGCGTCACGCCTTGGCTCAGTTGATATAAGCCCAGAACGACAAGTATTTGGGCACAAAGTGGCGTGTTGTGCACCTCTTAAAGCGTGAGTGGCAATCGAAGCTAGCGCCTCCAAGGCATTCAACGTCCACGAGATTTAGTTCCAAGGCCGAAGAGCTGGGTTGCGGATTTCAGCAGAAACAGCTTGTTTCGGCAGTTAGCGCTAGCGTCTGTTCTTGGTTTTCGAGGTTTGTTTTGGGGGTTGAATGATAGATCAGGTGGTGCTCCACTTCTTTTTCATCGAGCATGGCTAGTCGAGAACTTAGACTCTTCGGACCGAGGACGTGTGCCCGCAGTACGTACGGTCCTTGGCATTGAAGTACTCAAGAGACAAAAGGTCTCAAGATGTAGGCTGCCTGGTGAAAGTGCTTCTGCAACACCGTGTGACGCCATGTGCTGTGTGACCTTTGGCAAGGCTTGCTGTGCTTGTCATGCGCTAGCATGGCCGGAAGGCATATGGAGCGGGACCTCATGCCAATAGAGTTCATGAAGGTGTCTGCGTCTTAGCTTGGAGTCAAGGCCCGCATCATGTTGTCTCATCAACGATGCCGCCAGGGAGTGAAATTGCAATTGACACTTGGTGGAACCGTGACGTTTCTCCGCCTGACACGCTTAGGGGCAAAGTTTGATTGGCAATTGGTAGCCTCATAGGTTGCAATCCCATGCGTGGCAGCTCTTATCCTGACTGAGGGGGTCGACATGGAAGATGATAAAGGCAGGGCCATGCACAGAGAGCTGCATTGCAACAGGGCATTTGCCCGTCTCTCAGTGTAGCAACCAGATCTCCAGCAAGCCACATTTCATTTCCGTGCCATGTGCTGCCGCTGCAGAAGCCTATTTTAGAAGCATGCCTTCTTCGCTCAGCTCAGCCTCTTGTGTTGCTTTACAGACGTTTAGTGTAGGGTTGCAGCAGCTACAATTACTATGTTTCCTTTATTTTCTTACCTGTTGTGTTGTCATTGCTATCGCCATCGTCTTTGTCATCGATACTGCTGCCGTGCTTGTTCCCGCGAAGTTTATTCGACATCCTGGCCTGTGGCTGTAGCAGACTTCTTTGCGAAGGAGGATTTGGACATGGCCGTTCAGGCTTGTGGCTTGATCTGGCAAGCTGCCCAGTGGGCAGCGAATAGCCTTTGTGGACAAGCTGTGGAAGAAGTTTCGAGCAGCGTTCACGAACTTTCTTTGCCGGCGGCAGCACCTGTTCCAAAAGGAGAAGCTGCAGAGACATGGTTGAGCACTGGCAGCAACAAGCCTCATTCTGCCCGACCGCCGGCAGCATCACAGTCCGTGGCAGCTGTTCCAAAAGGAGGAGCTGCGGAGACATGGTTGAGCACTGACAGCAACAAGCCTCATTCTGCCCGACCGCCGGCAGCATCACCGTCCGTGGCAGCTGTTCCAAAAGGAAAAGCTGCAGAGACATGGAGCACTGGCAGCAACAAACCTCATTCTGCCCGACCGCCGGCAGCATCACAGTCCGTGGCAGCTGTTCCAAAAGGAGGAGCTACGGAGACATGGTTGAGCACTGACAGCAACAAGCCTCATTCTGCCCGACCGCCGGCAGCATCACAGTCCGCGGCAGCTGTTCCAAAAGGAGGAGCTGCGGAGACACGACAGCGCGCAGCATCACAGTCCACAACAACGGCTCCACAAGGAAGCGTTGCAGCATCACAGAAGAGTCCAGGACCTTCCATGGTTGGTGACCAAAACGCATCATCTTTAGCCTCGGGAGGTCAGCCAAAGGGGCTTTATGACCGGATAGCATTTCCTGCCTTTGATGATATACCTGATGAAGACGACATCGATCATAAGCACTACCTTGACAACGTCGGCTACCGCATATTTGCCTGCAGGCACTGGTGCCTACTTGGCCAGATTGACGACGTTTCCTCTTTCATCAGGGTGCGGATGGTTGTAAGGGATTGGAAGGGCCGCGCCTTCATGGTGCATGTTCACATTGAAGAACACGCGTCCACCCTCAACCTTTTCGACATAAAGAAAGGCAACGTGATCGCACTCATGAACCCAGAGGCACATTATTTCATGGATGGTACAACTGGCATCAGGCTGGAAGCTCCCGACTCAGCCTTTGTGTTTCGTTCGTCCTTGTCCCATTTAATGGAGGAAGGTCGAAAGATCTTGAAGGGGCAGTTCTGCGTTCAATGCGGCAACCCCGCGAAGGAGAGTTGCAACAAGTGCAGTGTTGCCCGGTACTGCAGCCCAACGTGTCAGCTCAAGCATTGGCAAGGCGGTCACAAAGAACTATGTTCTCAGATGCTCGTGCTTAGAAATTTGCTGGATGCGGACCTTTCTGCCCCGCCAATTCTTCAATACCACTCCTTCCGCTCTTTGGCATCCACCCTCAGCAATGAAGATGAAGTTGGCTTGGGAGATCTCCCCCGCCCCTGCTGCTGCGGCTTCCAGGACAAGGAGCTAAGCAACAGTGAAGAATGCCTTGCGACAGGGTTGGAGAACCACGGGGTGTGATAAATTTACATTTCCTCT